TGTATGATGAGTGGTGTATGATGAGTGGTGTATGATGAGTGGTGTATTGATGAGTGGTGCATGAACAGTTCTTGAATGTCCGTAACACGGAAGTTTCGTTCACTAAACTTCCTTTGATCAATTCCAAGGGGAGTGGGGGTTGAATTGAGAGATCAATCAATAGACCCGGACGACCCAACACTTGCTTCGCAAGACAAACTCAAGGTATCCCTTGAGGGCTACCTTTCGTGATTATATAGATACGGATTTTTACTCTATGTATGCATGACCTCAATTGGTCTTGCCGTTTTGTCAGCTGGGAAAACACGTTGTAAAAATAAAAAGGAAGGCAGGGCCGGTCAAGGCTTGTGAAGGGCAATGTTATCATTTGGGGGCTTGAAGTCCTGGAGTCTAGCTCGTTCTCAAGCTGATTTTGATGACCAAGAATATACTCCAATAACAATCATCACTTCTTTGTTCATATACTAAAAGCAAGGAAACTACCTTCTTTCAAGCATGCCCGGAATCGTCGCATGCGTTTGTGATACACAAAAAGGTTTTACTGTGGTCATTATATATCTTGTCTGAATTGCTGTGCAATTTGCATGCAGCCACACAGTTGTTGTTCATCAACGAGACCTTTCGACCAATGTGCATCAACACTGATGTACGGTCTACAGGCACTGCAGTCGGCACTTGCACCCTCAAAGCAAATATCTGAGTTCGCCAGAAGCTGCTGAACGTGCCGGTAGTCTCACAGCTGAATTCGGCTGAAGCTATCGCCAGCACACAGCTGAACGAATTGTCCGAAAGTTTGCAAATAGTTCTCTCACATCTGCTCGCCCAGGAAGGCAGCCACGGAGGCCACAGGCCAAAGAGGGAGAAGTGCTGATCTCAGCCCTGCACGCAGCTGAAGATCTCTCCCCACTTCTATCTTATCCACACACCCATGTCTAAAACGGAAATGCTTCAGTTACACTCTGACAGCATTACGTCTGCCAAGACTTGGCACAGTCTTGTCGCAAAGAAAGAAAGGCCTTCTTGCCGCAGGCAAGCAGCTCTGTGAACGCCTTTCCTGCCAGGTACACATGACACAAGGCATCAAAAGAAATATAGTATAACATTATGTGTATATATATATATACACACATAGTCACTCATGATTAGACAGTCATGATGAATGTCTGGAGGTCGGAACTCGCAGGCCAGGATGCGAGATCTAGAACGCACAAACATTGTATTAAAGATTGATCAGGGTGAAGAAGGAAGCATGCGCCAGCTGATCAAAAGGTACCCTGCAGCTTGCATCTACATTGCAAGTGCCACTAAACTACAGAACCAGTACAGTAATCCAGCAAAGAAAGTGCTCGCAGTACGATTAAGCTCGCCAGGTCTTCTCCAAACATCCTCCTGAGGAGCCATGTGAGCAGCAACTGCTAATCAAGATTTGGGAAGAACACTGATTTGACAAGCCTTCCAATCTTATCTTTGCCTATCAGGAGCTTGGACAAGAAATGACAAGACCTTGACCTTGCCCATAAAAGGATCTTGCAGTGAAATTATGTTGCTGCTCATGTTCCTAGGTCCATCATTGCATGCCATCGCCGAGCCTCAGGAGGTTTATTAACGACATGGAAGAGACTATATGTAAGGAAAAGGTTACTGTATTTGCATTCCTGTGATGCATAGGATGTGGCTGATTTAACCCAAAGAAATAGTTACAAAGTAACAGTGTGATTTCTGTTGCTTACATATTCTTATGTGCTTATTTGATTAATCTTACTTGCTTACTTATTTACGTACTTACTTGCTTAATTACTTACTTACTCACTTACTCCCTGACTTACCTACTTACTCACTGACTTACCTACTTACCTAGTTATTTGCTTACTTGCTCACTTGCTTGCTTGCTTGCTTGCTTCCTTACTTCCTTACTTCCTTACTGATATACTGATAAACAATATACTTGCTTGCTGGCCCGCTGGCTGGCTGGCTTGCTTGCTAAAGCTGGTGAGGTGGTGAGGTGGTTCCATCCCGCTGGTCGAAGTAATTCAGTTTCTTAAGCAGCTCTGTGCAAGACACTAATATCTAAGTCATGAATGCACCAAGTGCTGAGACCAAGACCAGGTCTTTTTTGTGGCCTGGCAAGCTCTCATGAATAACACAAGGTATCAAGTTCTCAGCTCTTCAACTCTGCCATAACAAAAGCTACTTGGTACCCAGTTCATCAATTTTAGTTCCTGCTCCTCAAAAAAGGAGGCCAGAACCCTTGAACCCCATGGGGCAATTGATGGCAGTTGACGACACCAACCCCACAGTGCTTGGGGTGCGGGGCTCTCGAAGCCTTTCCGTGCTGCAGGTGCAGGTTTTGCGGGGGCAGAGAGTTTCAAGCGCGCTGCTCCACTCTCAACCTCAGCCAGCCCACCAATACCTTCATCTCGAAATCTTCGGAATAACTTATAAAACAGTTTGGATTCACCATCTTCTTGAACAAAACACGCGTTCTTCATGTTCCTGCAAAAGCATTGCAACTGTGACCTGAAAACGATGGGTTTCTGATAGCTCTCAGTGGTTCTGGCCTCTTGAGCGATCTGAGCTGGGGCTCCTTGAGCAAGAGGAGTATGAGAACAGGAGGACAGGTAGGCTGACAATCTGTTGGCACTGCCACTAAAGATCGAGATCCCAAAAGAGTTGCCCTGCGGTAAAGCTGCGGCAGTGCAAGTTTACCAGGCATTCTGCATCATAAGGTTGATAGTACAATAAACAATAGTGCGGATATTATTGAACAGCATATGTTGTATCAGCTGCAAGAGTATCAATAGACAATGTTCCCGAAACAAGCTACACTGACATGATATTGTATCTCTGATCCAGATCACAGGATGCCCAGCCTGTCAAGGCGGCAAATGCTGCTGGTATATCACCTTTACAGGCAGAGCAGAATGAGAGTCAAGCAGCTACTGTATGCTCTTGCTTGCAGCGTGCCAATGTCCAGAGGGATTGGTGAGCGATTCGCCTTTGATTCCTCTTCCCCTTGATTCCTCTTTCCCAGGCTGCCTTCCAATTTTTCAGGCTCCCTGTTCACCTGGAAATCAGACAACTCCTAGTCACCTGTCTGACTGTTTTGCTCTCTCAACCAAACAACTAGCATGACCGCATGACCACGACTACCTGCAAGCAGCATAGATTACCTTTGCTATGGCAATCAATTCGATTATGTCAACTTGATGAAAGGATGAAGTTCTACTCTTTGTAGTCCGCCTTATTTGATGAGCCTTTGGAACCAGTAGGACCTCAGCAATCGAAAAGCCATCTGAATCTGAGAGCGGGTCTTGTGACTTGTGTACAACGGAGCAAAACGTTCAAGGTCCCCAACTGTGATTTAATTATTTGTAATAACGATGTCTTATGCAATACTTTTATCCTCAATATATATATATATACTTATATATTATATATATATAGTTGTTTTATATTATAATATATATATATATATAATTGTTTGACTAGTCTGACAAGTCCTTGTCTTACCACCTGGAACTAGAACTCAGGCAAGGCCAAGCAACTCTCCCTCTCTCTCTCTGCATTGCGCTACGAGTACTTTGTGGCACACATTGGCAAACACCAAGGCCATTACGGCTGGGATTCTTCACTGGCGCCTGCTTTGGATTGGAGGGCAGCAATGTGCAAGAAAAAATGATGGACACTAAAAATAAAGCGAGCGACTTGTCAAAAAGCGCCCGTAACATTTATTGGTACCTTCCACTCCATCGTCTCACCCTCTTTCAAAGCTCCTCAGTTTCTTTGAATTGATGGCAGTGACCGCATGGGAGGCCGACTTGGCATACTTGGCCGCCTGAAATTACAATGCGGCAATGTTAGGGTTCGCACGGTCGTCTTTGGTCCTAGGCTTATCCTCAGCTCTGGTCCCGGTTCCCCTCAAGTCTTTGAGCAAATCAGCGCAAAAAAAAGGATTGGCAGTTGGAGCAGTTCAATTCAGCTAGCCTTCAGCATGGATCATCCTAGAAAAGGCTGTGGGTCAACACACCATGGGCCATTAGCTTGCAAATGGATGTTCGATATGGCTCGATGGGCTTTGACCGCCATGTCTGTTCCAGCTCTGAGCTAGCCACTCTCGATGCGGAAGCCTCAAAGCACTCAGATCAGAAGCAAAAGAGAATCAGTATTAAAAGTATTCAAAGACTACATATCAAAGACCACAAGGAATCTTGGATTACCACCTGAGTGACTTGAAGCAGCTTCTTCAAAGCTTGCGAAACCTCAAGATGTATGAAACTTGAAGGAAAGCACTCCAACGACTTCCATTCATAGCTGCATACATTGTTTCTGGAGCGGTTGTTACATGTATCACGTGCAAAGCGGGTTCCAATGGGTATCCAAGCATGCCAGGATTTAACAACAAATCGCGCGAGGTCATTTTCTACGAGATCTAATCTTCATGTCGGGGTCTTGAAGAACACTCTTGACGAGCTCATCTTCAAGGGGCTTCGGTGATCGCTTTGGCCTCTTGGGTTTCCAGCTCAGCCTGGTGCGTGACCTTGAAGGTTGTGGCAGCGAGCAGCCCGGCCAACAGCTCCACCAAAGCATAGGCCACGCTGCTGACAAAACCGCTGCCCGACAGAGCGAGGCCCACAGAAACGGCAGGATTCAATGCACCGCCTGAAACGTTGCCCATGGCAAAGCCGCCCACCACCACGCAAAAGCCAATGGCTAAGCCAAAGAACTGAGAGCTCTTCGTCACCGAGGAGACGGCAACACAAAGGACCACGTAGGCCAACAAGAATGTGAAAATCAACTCTCCAAGCAAAGCCTGTGTCAGGTGATATGACCCTTTTGGTCCAAACCTGCCAAATTCGCGGCCAAACATGCCCACCGCAATGATCGCCGCAGTGGTCCCGGACAGCACTTGGACCACCCCATAAAGAGCGGCCTTGCGATGCAAATTCAATCAGTTCACCTACTGTAACAAACCAAGCTTTAAGTAGAAGCCTCATGTGTTGGCATATATATATATATATCCATAGTAAGTATGTTTACAGGAAATCAGCCTAAAGCGCCCAGCTTTTTCCTTGAGCCAAACACGAGAGTATAGAGGTATATTTACCGTAATGAACAATGCTTACTTAGAAAATACACCCCCCCGCGGAGCGGAGTGGCTTCGCCACGGCGCGCCGAAGAGGAAGTTGTAAGCAATGTTCCAACCTCAGGCGGCGATGACATCAAACCGCACTACAACCCTCGAGCTACTGCATTCGAATGCGGCATGTCGGCACAAATGCAAAATGCTCTTAGTTTATCAGATCAAGATGAAAGCAAATGTGGGGCAATCAAATCTTTTCTCTGATGCGGAGCTGGCGACAAGTCTTCGCTTGTGCCGGATTGGCAAAATACCTCAGAAATTGCGATATGCAATGAGGTTCACAAAAGAACGATGGCGATGCCTTCCGGCACGCTTATCTCACTGGGACCTCTTACCGTTCCATCCTCGAGAAAAACGTACACAGATCGCAATGACCATCGAATTATATGCAAATTTAGCTGACTGAAGGGTTTACGGCAGAGCGTTCCCGCTCGCTTCATGAGGGCATGCATGGAAAGTAACACGCCAACGAATTGTAATTTCCGGCGTGACCTTCCGGTCCGCATGGCAAGAAGGTATTCTCTGCTTCTTCAATCCCTTTCTGTATGGCTTCTCAGCGGTTCCACCAGCCTCCCTTGGATGAAGACCACCAGTTGGAGGAAGATGACGACCCTGCCAAGAGGATCGCCAAGAGTGGCTCCAGTCCCATGAACCTGAGCCCCAGGAACCTCCCCATCTTGGTTCCAGCTGCTCTGCCAGCTGCCCTGATACTGGCTCTTTCCCTTGCCTTTACCTTTACCCTTGCCACGACCCTTCACTTCTGGGCAGTCGCGTGCGCGATGGTCGGGCGAGCCGCACTCGAAGCAGAGTTTGGCATCCTTCCCACTGCCTTTTGATCTTGGGTCGAAGGCCGTCTTCGTGCTTTCCTTGGCGGTGGATCTTCGCTCTGTGAGCTTCACCTCTGGGAAGCGACCCGAAAAGATCGTCATGTCTGAGTACTCTGTGCAGGCACGGGCCCAATTGCGTTCAGCAAATTCGACCAAGTCGCTCAGGATCTGAACGGCGTCGCCTTCCGGCACGCATTCCAGGCTTCCCCATCTCTCCACAGCAACCACGGGCTCATTCCGTGTCCGGGCCAGTGAGCGCCACATCGAAAACTGCTTCAAATTGAAAAAGCGGTTGTGCATGGTGACACACGAACGATTCGTCCTCGATGGACAAGGCCTCGGTCGGATCCCGGGTGATGGTGGGAATGAAGCACAGTTTGGAATGGTGCTCCCTTTCTTGATCATCAAGGGCTCTCTTTCTTTCTTGAGCACTTCGTCCAGGGTTGGCGAAGATTGCTCGGGCCAATCTGTGGAGAAAATTGAGCGACCCCGACGTCAGCTGGGTCGTCGAGCAGTTGTAGGCGAACAACGGGTCGACTTCTAACCGCCTGGCTGGCCCCGGAAGCCCTAGCTGCTTGGCCTTTCGGACGTAGTTGACGGCAAGCCTTTTGATGAGGCCACAAATGCCGATTTGGCTCCTCGCTGCTGCTCACCTTTTGACGTGTCTTTTACGACATTCGCCTTCCGATAGGCTCTGGTATAGACAACTGGTCCAGGGCAACGACGGACTCGTTGAGATTAGCCGTCTCCTCCATTCTTGCCAATTCGCTCGCGGAGCGAGCATCTGACCAGATCTGAAGGTCCTTGCGACAGTAGTCGCATCGGTGCTGCCCATCATAGTGGCGCGTAGCACACAGGGGCGTCGGGCACACCCTCTTAGGGATCTGGACAATTTCGTTCGCCATCATGTCATCGTCCTCGATGTCACGGAACTTTCCTTTGCCCTTGCCCTTCTTGCCCTTGGACTTGCCCTTGGATTTGCCTTTTCCTGCCCAACCAGTCATCTCTTCGTTGGCGATGATGCAAACCTGTCCCAGCATAAAGCCGGTCAGTTCAGGCGGCGGACCCTCCCGGGACGGTTGGCATGTGTGAGTGCTACCTCATCGATGATGCCAGTCATCCTGGTCGCGCCCTTCATGAGGTTCGTCTCGCCTACTTTCAAGTGGCGCTGGTTGCGGCGTGCGTTGTTGAGCATAAAGTTCTTGGCTTCGGCTAGCTTGCTCAGGCGGAACTGCGGATCATCAGTGGAATGCTTCTTGATCTCTTCGCGATAGTTCTGCCGTGTCTTAGCATATGCTCGATTGAACCAGACGAACTGGTTGGATCTGGCGTCGTATGCGTACATCAGTGCAGCATTTGAGACCCAGTCCAAACTGAGGATGCTCTTGCGCGTGGCAAAGACCCTACAGCCGAGCTGCATGACAAGTTCAGCGTCGAACGCCAGGTAAATTGGCTGACCGGCTCGCGTTCCCGCAAGCTTGCGCATCTGGGCCTTCCATGGTGGGCAGGTGGGAAGTAGTTGTGGGCCCTGCCAGTCTTCTTCGGAAATCCACCAGGAATCAGCCCAGTGCCAATGATGCTTTCCATCGCGGCACGGTCACACGAGTGGTACAACACCCTCGGCAGAGAAGAGAGGAACTCTTGGTCCGGGGTCATATTGAATTGGTACGTGGGAGCTTCCCTTCATCAATCATCTTCGGCGTATACTCTGGGTCGAGCGAGTAGACGCGCTTGATGAAGTTGGAGTGCCCTAGCTTGTCCGTCACCCAACGATTGTGGCCTTGGACAGCTTTGACGCCAACTGGCTCATACGGCAGACCTTTCCAGGTCGCCCCCACGGCGTTCCCCGGCAAACGAGTCTTCAGCTCGAACCTCTCGTCCTCCGAATTCTTAATCACCAGGAGAACTTCCCACTCTCTGCATTGAATTGGTAGATGCGCTTCTGGAGACACTCAATCAGTGGCTTCCAGGCCTTACTTCCGTCTTCTTCGAATTCTGGGGCGTCGAACCCCTTCAGCTCCTTGTGGCCACGAAGATGAGACGTAAGCTCCTGTGAGATCCACTTGAATCGTCCCCATTCCACGTCACGGCGCGGAATCTGGCGCAAATGTTCTGGGCCAAGCCAGACCTCCTGCCCAGGAAGCTGAGCGAACTCCAGGTCCTTATACTCGGATCCTCAGTGTCGATCGCTCGCATGGTGGGCTCCAAGTTGGGTCGCCGCGCCTGCTTGGGCTGGGCCTTCGGCCTCATGGCCAGCCTTTCTGCCTCTTTCCATTTCTTGAAGCGTGCATCACGCTCCTCTTTCTCCCCCGGACAACGATGCGACCGGTTTTCTCGTCGACGAAACTCAACTCCTCGTAATGAGCCTTGGCCTCAGCCGCGGCCTTCTCCAGCTCGGTGAGTGTGGGTTTCGGCGAACCTTCCGGCACGCTTGGCGGCTTGGGCTTTTCGGCAGATGGCTTCTTCTTTGACTTATCCTCAGCATCATCGTCTCCAGTGAGGTCGACCTCCATGGGCTTGGCATCATCTGACTTTGTGTTCTCATCAGTGGCCTGACCATGGGTCGTTTCGGCGGCTTCGCCCTGACACTCCTCAATTGTCGCATCAGGGGCCTCCTCGACCGCTCCTTCCGCCTCGGTCGGTTGATCGACTTCTCCTTGGCCTTCGGGAGCGGCTTCTTCATCCACCTTCTTCTGCTCCCCTTGGGCCTGTTCGTCGATATCCATGGGTTCGGGCCTCTCAACTTCATCGGCCTCTGAACCCTTGACAGACTTGAGGCCGCCGAATCCGCATCATCGTCGTCCCAGTCTGGTTGCTCCTCCTCCGGATGTTCAACGATCACATAGGACTTTTCGGTGCGGACATCGGCAAAGGCTTCGTCGTCGGCCTTTTCTTCCTCGTTCTTGGGCGGCGGAAGCGGCACCTCAACTGGCGGGATGAATGAGCTGGTACCCGGGTTCTTCTTCTTCTCCTCGATGGCTCGTTCCCATTCGTCGAAGTCGAGCGTGTCTCCTTCGTCCGGGACTTCCCATGGAAATTCTTCCACAAGCTCTTGTCCACCTTGCGGAGTTGGCAAGTCGGGGTACAGCTCTTTCATGATGATGCGATGCCTTTCATCATGCTCACTTTCATCCAGTTCTTCTGCATCGATGGGCAATCGCAACAGGTCATCGGGGTTGATCTCCTGAGCCAGCACGTGGCTGGTGTCCTTCAATCGCACGACGTCTGCCTCTTCTTCTTGCAGCAACCAATTCATTATCTCTTGGTCGACTGCATCCACAATGTCGGCCGG